CGGCCACCACTGACGCAGAGTTCCCCCCAGCCGGGACCCCCTGCACCGGCTGGGTGCTCTCAGCAGCAAAGAGCACCCAGGTCCTCGCTCGCCCCACGGCCATGCCAGTGGGGACCTGGACCCATGTGGGAGCTGAGCCATGGCCCCGAGGGGGAAGTGAGAGGGGATTTCTGTAGCCTGGCAGGATGGCAGCTTTTTCTATGACTTTTTTGGGGGGATTTTATACATTTGTATTTATATGTAAAGACTGTGCTTTAATTCGGTCTTCCTGGAAGGCTCTACTTCTGGCTCCTTGTGCTTCACAGAGTACCCTTTATGCTGCAGGCTGGCTTTTCTGGAAGACTGCTCTTATTTTTCTACCAAATAAACGATGGCTGCATTTCATTTCCCTCTCACCTTTTTGCTCCTTTTCGGCTTGCAGGACTGTGGGGTGCCAGGCAGGTCCCACGTCCCTGTGGTCCTGCCCGGGCTGCTTCCTGGCTGCTTCTTCACATGGCAATTAATAGCAACTGAGATGGAGAGTTTGGAGACAGTGGGGATGACAGTGTGGCTATATCTGTGGGCCGTTCTAGGCTTTCCCTAAAAATAGTGCGTTGTTGCAGTGTAGTTTGGAGGAACATAGTCAGGATTTGTCCCTTTGATTTTTTTTTTAGGGACAAAATTGCAAAATCAGAACAAATTGTTCATTTTAGCGGAATTTTACCCTTTTATCTCTCTTGGTTTTGCTGTTGTCAGATATTCAGACATTATTAAGCCAAATGCGTAGTTTTCTGAAAAAAAAAGAAACTCTTGTATACTTTCTTCCCAAGTCTGAAAAGCCCACATGGTGAAAACTGCATGTGAGGCTGTGCAGGTGCGGGAATAGAAGACTTTGCAAAATTCATCGCAGAGACGCTGCTGCCATTTGACAGCAGTTCTATCCTAAACATGTAGTAAAATGAGAAGTCACTAACCTGAAGACACCATAAGGTGAGACTGCAAGTAGAGGGGGGACAGATCCCCGGGACAGGGCTGGCGGGGAAATCTCCCCATGCTTGCAAACCCGCTGCAGTGTGCCAAGAAGGAGCAAACTGAAGTGCTGTACTGCAGCCGCAGTGCTATCTGCTTGCAGAGACTTCAGACGTGGACTTTGGTCAGTAAAGGTCTATTAAGTCATATAATTGCAATAATAGGATTTGCGGGGATTAACAGTATCAGCAAAGGCTGCGTGTTGGCTGGAGTAAATCTTGTAGCTGACTCTTTCTATCAAGCACATTTATCTGGCTTGATCACTTTATTAGGTAGGCGTTATAGGTCTATTATTTTAAGGCTGTGTAAAGAAACTGTGAAGTCCAAGATACTGGCCCTGAGTACGGGACGGGCGCTGAGCTGGCTCCATGCTGCTGTCTCCACGTGGGAGTGCGCGGCCGTCTGCCAGACTGGCTTTTGGACAGGATGCGAGGCAATAAAATATATCCTTTACAACCAAACTCACTCGTTCTGGCTGTTGTGACGGGCTTTGGTGGGGTGGGAAGGGCGGCATGGGGGGACTGCTCCCCTGCCCCATACACAGTCACCCCCCAGGACCTGGCTTTTGCAGCCCCCCTGGGCGCTGCGTCCCCGGGGGTGCAGTGTCTGCGAACTGCTGGCACAGGGGAGGGGGACCATGAAAGTCACCTCTCTTGCAGCTGTGTTGCCCAGCAAGATGAAGCCGTCCTGTTTGCTCAGCTGTCCCCACCAAGAGGTCCCGAGATGCCAGCAAACACGGATGCACAAAATGGTTTTGTACATGGCATCTTTGCTCACCACTGAGCCTGTCCCTCTGACTCTGACCCTCTCTGGACAAGCACTACTTGCTCAAAGCAGGGGCTCTGTGCTCCCTGCTGGTTTGGGAAAACAGCATTAAACCAAGTTATTAATGAGGCTGTGCTCTGGCCTGATCTTTGCTGAGAGCCTGGGAACCAACACCCATGTACTGGGAGTCAGCTGGGGCTGCTGCAGGAGGGCTGGAGACAGCCCTGCGTTTGCTGGGGATGCACTGCATCCAGCGCTGTGAGGCTGGCCCTGCCTTCTGCGGGACTCCTTGTTGTGCTGCTTGCGGTGTCAGGGGATTGTGAAATGATTGCAAAAACCCCCTAGAAATGAGGCCCAGCCGAATACATCTGCAACCACAAACAGCAAAGCATGAGCTGATGGCAGGAGCGAACCAGCACGTGAAATCTACCCTGGTGTCTCTGTGGCTGCAGATGTAAACACCACACGGGTGTGTTTTTTTCTTCAGATGCTAAGTGGGCCTTAGGCTAAGACAGGTTAAAAAACATGCACGTGAGGGTGCTCTAATTTTACCCTAAATTTTACCCTAAAAGCAGGGCTTGTGGAAGAGCACCAGAGTTTGTCCCACACTTGGGCACTGATGCCTGCGCGGGAAGGCATGTGTGAGCATGGAAACAGATGCACAAATGCAGCCCCACGTGTGCCTGTGCCTGCACACGCACGTGGGCATTTGCACGCTGCTTCCAGCTTTCCTGCAGAATACTGCCTTTAAGGAAAATAAGGTGTCAGGGTTAGCGGGAGCTTCTTATTGGGGCAGGTGGCCACAGTGCTGCCACAGGGAGCTGGCACTGGGGAAACGCCTCCGAGGAGATTCCCTGCGAGAGGCCGAAAGGAGAGGCAATGGGCTGGGATCTGGAGCACGCAGCAGGGGCCAAAATCCCTTCCCCATGGAGGTGCTGAATCCACGGACCCCAGCTGAGACAAGTGATGTAAAGAAGATGCTCTGTGATGATGCCACAGTGAAGTAGCAGAGGAGGATTCACACAGTTGTACCCCACGGCAGGGCAAACCCGCTGCTTTGCCCCACATGCAAAGACAGGGCAGGGTTGATGCAGTGTGTGCGGGGCCAGTGGGTGTGCAAGGGCTGTACAAGCCCCCCCAGACATCTTGGAGGGAACGCAAGAAAACTGCACCCATGTCAAGCAGAGCAAAAAGTTAGGAGAGCTCGGCCACCCTGGAGCAGAAAGGCTTCAGTGACAGCAGAAAGTAACCACACAAGATAGAAACCAGAGAGTGCAGCCAAAAAAAGGGGAGTCTTGAAGCCAGGCCAAATGATTAGCTCAAGTCATTAGCTGGCGCAGATGGTGCTCCAGGCTTGTGCTGGCAGCGGAGCTTGCTGGGCTGCAACGCCGGGCTGAGCTCCAGCGAGGCTCACCTGGAGACATGCGCACCGGGTCTGTCCCTCTGCCCCACACCATCCCCGAGGAGCAGGAGCCGGCTATGCTGCAGCAGCCCCGCAGGTGCCAAGCGTGTGGGTGCTAGAGGGGCTGTAGTTTCCAGCTGAAGCTTCAAGGTGTTTTTAGCTGCTCTCTCACCAACACTGCCCTGCTGGGGTCTGCCATGGTCCAGAGAGGAGAGAGGAGGTGGAGAAGTGGCTGGTGGGCAATAGGGACTCCTACCCTTCCTGCCCCAACATATTTCCCAGTGCCAGTCATCCCTTGGCACCCATTCTCTCCTAGAGGTCCCCAGCCAGAGCCTCCTCTCAACCCTTTCTTCACCTACGTGCAGCTCCCAGGTGCCCTCCTTCCCCCGTTCTCCGTTTTGCTGGCTGGAGCCCCTCGGCTTTGGTGTGTCCTTGTGCTGATGGTCCTCATTCCACTTGCCCAGACCCCCACGTCCCTCCGCTTGCCTCCCATCCTGCTGGGGACTTCAGACCTGCTCCTGGGCTGCAGCTGTCCAAGGGGGTGGTGGAAGAGCATCTGTTTTCCTCTGAGGATGTCCTGCAGCAGGGCCAACGTGAGCCGTGTCCCAGAGCTGCACCAGACCAAGACCCCCACAGCCTCCTCTGTCTGGTGTCAGTCTAAAAGCCAACAGAGCAGTGAAAGACAGTAGTCTTCAAGGCTTTTGGTCCATCCTATGTGCTTTAGATCTGTCCACAGGTGAGTCTGGGGTGCAGCCTCACCGGGCATCCTTCCTGCCAAGCCACGTAGGAGATGACGAGGAAATTGCTGACAGGCTGCTTTTTGTACAGGTCTCCGAGCTGTTCTCCAGCCATCCCCTCCTGAAACCCCTGAAGAGGCTGCAGAGAGGGGGACAGAGGCAGCGTGACAGCGGGAAGCCAGGGCTGGGGGCATCCCACCTGGCCGCTGCCATCTCAGTGCCATCACAGCATGTCCAAGAGCATTTTCAGGAAGCACCCAGCTGGGAGACTGCGCAGCCTGAAGATGATGCTGAGGGACACCTGAGTTGCACAGACCCCGAGAGATGAGTGTTCACCTGGGTGGAGTTGAGGGGGACCCAGCTGAAGGGTCTTGGCTCTGCTGCCCATCACCTACGGTGACCTCAGCATCAATGCCACTGAAGGCAATGAGCGTTAGGGAGAGATGGGCTCTAACAGAGCAGGAATTGGCACCTTCTGCATCCCTCTTAGCCAGACCCTCAGGACCATCTTTACTCCCTCTGGGCAAAGCCATGGCTTGCTTTTTTCTTTTCCTTAATTCCATTTAAATCAGATTGACCGGGTTCCCTCAGGTAGAGGAGATCCAGCAGGATCCCAAGCCCCGTGGGCTGGCAGTGGCCCCAGTCCCTGTGCCGCACTGGGACTGAGGCTGCAATGGAAACTGTGCAGGAGTCTCCTTTGTGCCAGGAGATGGAAGGGAAATGGAAATAGCTGCAATGTCTGCCCAGTATTTCCCAATGAGGTGAATGCAGCCTGGCCAGATCCTACCCCAGGGACTGGCTGTGCCTGGAATTTGCTGAAATTCCCCCATTTGTCCTTTCCAGCTCTGTAGGTGGAAAGCTGAGCACCGCAAGACAGCCCAGGGAGCACGCTGGAGCCCACAAACTCAGTGGGGAGCAGCTGCCCTGGGGGCTCCTGCAGCCGGCAGATATCCGGGAGGGTGCCAGTGTGGCTGCTGCTCCCTGAGGAGAGCCCAGGGATGGAGGTGATGCTCACACAGCCCATTTACATTTTGATGGGTTGGATTTCGCATGGGGATCCCCCCCATATACGGTTTCAACTTTAATTAACAACCGCATTATTGAGGCTGGTGCCGGGGGGAGTGCTCAGGCATGCTTCTCGCTGCCGGTGGTGTCCTCGGGGCTGGAGCTCCAGCGTCTTCCCAAACCACACAGATCCCCTGCCCGTTCCCTACCTGCTTGTGCCTCTGAAGAGCCTGGACCCCAAAACATCCCCTTTTCCCCCTCTGTGCCATCTCTTCTGGTCCCCAAGGCTCAGCCCTGCAAGGGGAATGGTGCGACCTCCCTGCATGCCACAGCGATGCGCTTCAGAGATGACCACTCTCTTCTTAGAAATCCCACTGACCCCAGTGGAGGGGGGAAAAGCCGTCACATTCCCCTTTCACAACGCGAGCGGAAAGCCCCTTTCCTCACTCTTCGGTGTCCCTCCTGGGGAGCAGAGGCATCTGGAGCAGCCGTGCTTTCACCCACTTGGCACCCAGACAGCTGCTGGGAGGAGGCAGGGACTCTCCTTCCTGCCCATGCGTTGGCAGGGACTGCAGGCAGCGCAAGGGCAGGGGTCCCCTGCAGCCAGAGTTGGTTAAGGGGTTTACCCCTAGAAGGATGTATTCCCAACACTGGACACACTGCTTTCAGTGTGTGGCCTGCCAGGAGCCAGCAGTGGGTGGGAGTCCCTTGTGTCAGGAAAGTGGCAGGGGGCCCCACTGCTTGCCACGGTGACCAGGACCCCAGCAGTGCACGGGAGGGACCAGCACCCCCCAGCCCCCCCCAGCACCCCTTGCCAGTCCTTGGGCATGCTTTTGTAGCTGCCGAACCCACTGAAAATGCAAGGAGGCGAGGGTTTGCCGTTGGGCAGCACCGCCAGCATCCCTTGCTAGTGGGTCAGGGCTCTGATTTTGGGGCCCTCTCTTCACCGGGGGCTTTGCGCCATCAGTCCAGCTCCTGGGGAGGAGGCAGCTCTGGGTTAGGAGTGGCTGCACCCGGAGATCTGGCTACCAGTATCAGCAG